TGATTTATTGGTCCTCTAAAATCCAACAAAGACTAGGAAAGTAGCCATTCTCTGTAGCAATGATCCAAAAAATGATCATTTTGAAAAGTCGTTTTGAACATCAGAAGTTGGGGAAATTTCAAAGGATTTGCAGGAAAAAAAGGGGGGGGGAGGCAAAAAGGGTCTGAAACAAGGGGTAAGTTGTGACATCAGCAGCTAAACAATTTAGATCAGAGTCCAAAGTTCCATTTCTGAACTGTCTGCCAGTGACGGGGGTCTCTAGCTGATGCAGACTGAGAGAGGCTGGAATGCAAAGAAAAGTCTAATGGTCAGTTTCTAAATTAAAGGCCTTCTGGAAGCAAAGAAGAGGGGCATCCAGGAGATCTCAGCTGATGGGACAGTGGTGCTCAACCTTTCTTTCTGTCTTGGGCAGAGTTCAATCGTCTCACCCGAAGGGAGGAAAGATGGTCTCCAATACCCCTTCTAGGCCCGCGAGAGAGCTGAGAGTTTCCAGCAAAGACAGAGAGAGGGAGAAAGAGAATCTCAAGCAGACTCCATGCCCAGCACAGAGCTCCATATGGGCCTTGAACACACAACCCTGAGATCATGACCTGAGCTGAAATCAAGAGTCGGAAGCTTATAGACTGAGCCACCCAGGTGTGCCTCCTATAGGACACTTGTCACTGGGTTCAGAGCCCACCCAAATAACCCAGGACGATCTCCTCGTCTCAAGATCCTTAATCACATTTGTGAAGATCCTTTCTCCAGAGAAGGTCATATTCAAATGTTCTGGGAACTAGTACGTGGACGCATCTGTTGGGGACCCCCATGGAACACTGCAGAGGGCATTATCAGAATTTTGAGGAGTATGTAATAATCAAACATTCAAAATAATGTTTGAAATAATTTGAAATAATAAACATAATGAAATCACCTTAATTTTTTAAAGTTTATTTCTTTATTTAAGTCATCTTTATACCCTACGTAGGGTTCAAACTCACAGTCCTGAGATCAAGAGTCACAGGCTCTTCTGAATGAGCCAAACTGGTGCCCAAAATTGTCTTAATTTTTTTAGCCACAGAATTCCCCGGGTTCCCTGATCAGAGTCTTGCTTTGTATCTGGTGAATAACTTTAATAAGCCTTTTCAAGATGGGTAGGGCTGATTAACTGCAAAGCTTTTATTTTGCTGAGTGTAGAGTTTTGGAGTCAGAGCTAAATTGACCAAGACAAAGGGGACTAGAACACCCACATGGGGAAAGGATGGAGAGAAGGCCGGAAGCCAGTGGACAGCTCCAGAGAATTTAGGTTATGAAATGGATCCATTCCTTCAACAAATATTTATCTCAAGGAGGCCGTGCATGCCAACCTTCATGCTAGGTATGGGGGATGAGAACTCACTCCCTGTGACGTTCAATACCAACCCTCTTCACCTTCTCCCCCACCCCCAAATCTTCAGCAAAATCCACACTGCTTGGTAATGCTCTGGAGATGAACTTGAGGGAGGAGGTGGGGGAAATAGAGCCTTGTTCATGGGTTGGAATGAGGGCAAAGCCAGAGACTCTTCCAGAAGGCCACACACGGTTTACAGGTACTAGGGGGCCAACTGGGACTTCTTAGGCACCCAGCATCTGCTTCCCTTCTCATGAAGTAGGAGCATTTTGACCGGCTTTGAATGTAAGTACCTGCAGGGTCTTACCCCGCTGCAGAGAGTCTAAATGGGACTGCCAGTCCCATTAGTCCCAAATGTTTTTCCCTCAGTTCCCATCACGGGAGAGTCGCAAGGTCAAAGGTAGGCCAATAAAACTTGGGGACTGAACCCTAAAAGGAGGATCGCAAGCGTGAATCATAGAGCTGATTTAGCCCAGCAGATGTGGTTCAGATCAGTTTCTGCTCCCTGCATCCCCGGTATCCTTTCCACGCCAGGTGGTTCGGCAGCCCCTTGGGATCTGTCAGCTACTATATATCCTTCCGATTCTCTTTTGCTAAAGTTAACCAGAGTCGTTTTGGGGTACCTGTCACTAGAGAACCCTGATGGAAGTGATGAGGAAATTCCCAATCCCTCCTATCCACTGAGAGGTCTGGGTACACACAGGTGTTGGCGTGCCGTGGTGACAGCTGTATCTTACATCCTTAAAGCCGGGTTTGTGACTCCCGCATTGTAACAGTTGGTTGCTGTTTTTTGGTTTTTTTTTTTAAGATTGTATTTATTTATTTGACAAACAGAGAGATCACAAGTAGGCAGAGAGGCAGGCAGAGAGAGAGGAAAGGAAGCAGGCTTCCTGCTGAGCAGAGAGCTCGATGCGGGGCTCGATTCCAGGACATTGAGATCATGACCTGGGCTGAAGGCAGAAGCTTTAACCCACTGAGCCACCCAGGCACCCCATCACGACAGCTTTGGTCAAAATCTGAAGTCTCCCTTAGGGGTGCCTAGGTGGCTCAGTCGTTAAGTATCTGCCTTCGGCTCAGGTTATGATCAAGGGGTCCTGGGATCCAGTCCACATCCGGCTCCCCGCTCAGCAGGAAGCCTGCTTCTCCCTCTCCCACTCCGCCTGCTTGTGTTGCCTCTCTGTCAAATAAATAAATACAAATCTTAAAAAAAAAAAGTTTCCCTTAAGCTAACGGTGACTGCCTTAGTTAACAAGGACACTCACAGTACCAGTGCCAGCCCTCAGAGAAAGGCCAACACGGTGAGAGAGATGAGAGAAGGATGAAATCCATCAAGGTCAGATGAAGGCTTCCAGTGACAACTTGAGCTTCATAAACATTTCCCAAGGGATCCTTAAACCCTGCACCTGAATTCAATCCCACACTCCCTGTGGGTCTTTCTGGCCCTGGTGACATGACAGGGGTCTCTCCTCCTTCCTAAGTGCATATGCATTTGCACAGGCCACAGGGGAATTCCACAGGGGAGACAAAGCTAAATTTATACCTTCAATTAATCTTCCCGTGTTCTCTCCTGCCTTCGGTCTACACCGAGTCTCCTTTTGCCACAATCGCAAGTGTCACACTCCTTAGCTGATAGTTACCCACTGTAGACAGAAGTTGTTGGACTCTTTTTTTTAATTGTGTTTTAAATTTTATTTCACAGAGAGACACACAGTGAGAGAGGGGAACACAAGCAGGGGGAGCAGGAGAGAGAGAAGCAGGCTTCCCACAGAGCAGGACCCTGGGATCATGACCTAAGCTGAAGGCAGGCGCTTAACAACTGAGCCACCCAGGTGTCCCTGTTCAGCTACTTTTTAAAAGTATCTGAACTTTGAATCCAGTCTTCCCAGGATCTCCAGCCTCTTCTGATATCCTCTTCCAGGGAACTAGGATTCCCGCTGTATGAACAAGTCCACTCCTAGGAGACTGAACCATCATCTCTCTCTCTGAACGCGCCAAATTCCTACCCAAGCCATGACCCCAGCCAGCAGAGAGAACACACCCTGAAGACAGAGAGCTGGTCCTAATCGCATCTGCCCAAGCACTACTCAACAGACACAGAGTTTTTATCATAGATATAATTTGTATATTTACATAAAAAATATTTTTATATTTGAAATTTGTATATTTTTAATTTTTTTTCCCTTTGCAAAGCACAAGGCAATTACCCCCCAGGGATGACAGAAAGCTCATTTATGCCTTCAGCTAAAGTTTCGAACTTTCTGCCCTGCCTTTGGCCGGGCGAGAAAATCACCTTCTGTTGTCATTTCATGCCAGATGCTGACCTTTGGCCTCCACAAAAAGCAGAGCAGCTGTGGAGGTCTTAACTCAGAGCTGGGTTCATGTCTGGTCTTCCGCACCGTGTAGCTGCTTGACTTTCAGTGCCTTAACCACTCCGAGTCTGAAGTCTCCTCACCTGGGAAATGGGGAGAACACTCCCTACCTATTAGGGTCATAAGTCAGTTCCCAAACCCAGCTGGATAGCAGAATCCTCGCAAACTTTCAAAACATACAGAATGACAGCGATGCGAGAAATGTGCACCCTTAAAAAAAAAATCCCAAGTGACTTTCTGGGACAGGTAGCCTGGGAAGCATAGATCTGAGGCTGACGTCCCATGATGCGGAAAGTACCTGGCGCATTCAGTACCCAGGTGTGCTACTGAAAAGAGGATTCTACCTACCAGAGTTGGGAGGGAAAGGCGAGCACATGGAAAACCATTCTGGGCTTTCACCGTATGCATAAGGCCCTGCAGATCATGATTCCCTCCCCTAATCCCGGTGACAACTGCCACAGCCACTCTGGAAAGCAAACAAGTCAACTGGCAGGAAGCACATGTCTTCTCTGCCCCGCCTTCTGAGATACTAACAGTGTAAAGTCCAAACAGAGAGGACTGGATTTCTCCCCAGGTGAACCTTTGCTATTAAGTTAATGCTGAGAATTTTAAGGGGGAAGGGACCTCAGAAACGGAGCTGCCGCGAATGGAGCGGCTGGCAACCAACATGGCCTCCTCGGTCAGCGTTACGCAAAGGCAGCTTAGAACACATGATACTGGCGATATGCTGTCCCCTGAAATGAACGGGATCATTCCTTCCTTTCTGGAATGTCTCCAGTACCAGGAGAGGGGTGCAGCGCCGCTCCTTCTCGTCACCCCACCTCGTGATGAATGAAAGGGCCCGAGGCCTGGCAAACAAATGTGGATGGTTCATGGTCGAGAAAAGAAGGCTCAACTGAGGTCATGGCATCTGCCTTCCAGTGTCTAGATTCTCCTAAGGCAAGGGATTAAACACATTCCATAGAGTTCCAGGAGTCAGACCCATGGGCTACAGAAAGGCCATAAAGCACACTAGAACTGGATAGGATTCCTAACTCAATGGTTATTAAAATCGAAACCCAGAGATTCTGCTTCCAGGAAGGAATCCTACAGCTGTTCCCCAACATGTGAACAGAAGCAGATACTAAAATACGCTGCGTCACTGGGCAGCGGGAAACCTGGGACGCTCCTAAATGCCCGAGAGGGGCCTGGTTCCAAGTTACGTAGTAATCCAAAAGAGGTAGCACAGTAGGTACACGGAAACTGAAGGCAGGCAACCGTCGTGTTGTACATTTTAATTTACAATTTTACCAAGAAAAAGGCTTAGTTACAAAAGGGGAAGTTCTTTATACAAAATAGGGATTTTTATTTCACTCAGTAAGAGAATCTACTGGCATGTCTTGCCTCCCCAAATCAAATCTCAAATAACTCACTTAGCTAAAATTATTTCAAAAAGACAGGTCATCCAGACAAAATTATCAGCTCCCTAAATGTGTTTGAGAAGAATTTAATAAACATTTGGCCTTGAACAGAGGTATTCTACAGAATACTTGTAACCTTTACCAAAACTACTGCTGGGAGGCAGGTGAGGCATTAAGGGCATACAAGAGCGACGAGCTCACTTACCACGAGAACCTTCTTACACATAGTCAGTTTCTGCCCCTGTACAATGAGTGCACATGCGACATCGTAGGAAAAATGGCTTCTAAAAGTTTACAAGTAAATTTTATTGTGGCCACAGGTCAACAACAAAAACATACGACAGTTAACGGTTCGGATTCTCTCTGCCTCCTATTTGATCATATAAATTAAATATGGAGAGGTACACACAAACTTTTATTAAAAAGAAGCTGTTTTCAAATCCCCAGTTCCTGGTAGAACACACATCTCTACCGCTTGAGGGGTGGGGGGCAAAATAGGGGCATACTGTTAGAGCACAGAGTTTCCTGAGAAGAAACCAGTCAAAATGTTCAAAGCCCTTCTAGCAGACTCCAAGTACGGCGCCCACTCAACACTGCTCCTGGCAGGCTGCTTTCAGTCTGAAAACGTAAAATAAGAAACTGAAACACCAAAGCCTTCAAAGAGCTTTATTGGGGGATAAGCCTAGCTCTGATGGAAGCAGCCCACCTATGAAAAAGAAGTTGTGGGTTTTGACGCTGGTCTTTGATGCACATTCCTGACTTACACATCCGTGGCTCAAAATAAAGAACGTCAAACACAAATGATTCGAAAGCCATTACAACCCCAAGTTATGGGATCCACCTAGATGTGCCTGTATTGGCTCTTAGGATATGATCTCTGCACCTTCCTCACGACTAATCAAAGCATGTGGCCATTAAAAGGGGGGGGGAGAAAATTTAAATAGGGTATAGGGTTCCCCTCTCCACACTATTCAATGAACATATATCTAGAAGGAAAATGAAAATGAAATCTGATCAATGCCCAGGTGTCTCTCAAAGAGAGCAACTCCCTGTGGCAAATGTGATTTGGAACTTTCTAGAAGAACACAACCCAAACTACTGTGGGTCCACACAAAACCAGTATGTCCTACACGAGATGCAAAGGGATTATGCCCACCACAGTTCGCAGCTGGCCCCCCTGCAACTCCACTGTAGTTTTCATCACTTCACTTAAGGAAAAAAATGCCTAGCAACCACCTCATGCCTCACTGACACCGGTCTGTGGCCCTTGCTGACAAAGTGGTGCTTTTTTTTTTTAATATAAGAAGCATCTGCAGAGGTGGCAAATGGTTGTACCCGACACCAGGTCACAGCAATTCCAAAAGCTGACGAAGCTCTCCATCGGCTGGTGCAGTCTTCTCCCCTATTGTTAAGAGTTCTGCCACCAAAGGGTGGGGGGGACATGGTGGACAAGTTCTTTGTGACCAAGCCTTGGCAGAAGTCAATAAATAAGAGAGCTTATCACTGGCAGAACCATTTTATGGGCAACCTCCTCTAGCTGCAAATGCGGGGGCTGGGAGAGGAAGGAGGGAGGCGTGTGCGAGAAAGAGGTAAAAGGCCCTTTATCAAGGGTTTGGTGACCCAACCCAACATGCCCAGCTTGGTGTCAGCAGACCGGGACCTGCCAAAACCCATTATTCAGACGGAAAAGGAAGAGAAGACACCAAAAAAATATAGTCAGTTCTGAAATTTGCACAGTTGATATTTGTTCTTCGTAGCAGTAAGGACTTGAATGAGAATCACGAAACTTGAGGAACACTTATATTTTTCTTCAGGATTTAAAAAATTGTGTCTTGTACTGAAAGACTACATTCAGTGTGGGTCGGTCCAACAGCGTTTGCTAGAACTCGGCTGTTAAGCACACCCAGCACTGGGAGGAAACTTCATCCGCATCGAGTGGCTGGTGGGCCGGCCCGAGGCCACTCCTTCACTGGTCCCCAAGCCGAAAGCCCTGTCCCCAGTTGTGTCTCCCGCCTCCACCGCCATTCTGGTCCGCAGCTCGCCTCATGCTAGCGGGGGGCACGCCGAATCCCGACACCCCTCCTCTCCTGCTGGGCAGCCAGCGGTACCTGGGGTCGGGGGAGGGGGGAAACAAAGGGAGAAAAGACAACACCATCACTTCACAAAGCGCTCTGGACCCTCCGCACGGCCTCCTTTCTTGCTGTCCCCACGGCATCTCACTGGAGTGTATCAGCCCGGCCAGGGCAAGGCCGGGGACGAGGTCTTACCTAACTCTGCCTTTTCAGCATTTCACTCAATGCCCTGGCCCCCGGCAGTACTCACTTTTCGGGTTTCTTAAATTTACTCCTTTTCCAGCCTAACTCACGCTCTAAAGAAATCTGTTTTCTGATCACAAAAGTAATTCGGGCGGAACAGTTTGGAAATAAAACTATTACCTCCACAAGCCCAACAACCAGAAAGAAGCCCCTGTATATAGCATGTTGACGGATCTAAGTGTGGATCCAACGGGATCAAAGCACACACAACAAATTCATGTGTGAAAGCCAAGTCCGCAGCCTGCATGTTGAGGCCCAAACGGCATCTCCACGCTGCCCCTGGGCCCTACGGCGTCCGTCAAGGGGAACGGGAGCTGCCGCTTTGTCTTGGGGTCTGGGCTGTGTTTTCCACGGGAATGCCCAACGTCCTCCGGCAGCCGAGATGGTGCGAAAGCTGAAGCCCGGAAAGGGCACCTGCTTTCCCCCTGGCCGATTAATAAACGAAGAATCCCAGAACAGCTAAGAAACCTTACACCCTCGTCTGTGTTCTTCAGCGTCTTGCCCTCCCTTGATCCTTAGTAAACTGAGAATGTGTTTAAACCTGTTCCACTTAGTGACTCTGGTCATGATCCCGGGGTCCTGGGATCGAGCCCCATATGGGGCTTTCTGCTCAGCGGGAGACCTGCTTTCCCCTCTCCCACTCCCCCGCTTGTATTGCCTCTTTCTCACGGTCTCTGTCAAATAAAAAAAATCTTTAAAACAAAACAACAACAAAAAAACACCATCTTAAAACAAAACAAAACAAACAAAAAAAAAACTATTCCACTTAGCTCCTCATGTTTACAATCGTGCTTGAAGGCAGAGGCCGTCACCAGATACCCCCGCTCAAAGCCCTGACAGCACCAAGAGCAAGCCCGTGAGAGCGACCTTGGCCGTGGTGAAGAGCCTGCCGAGCTCGACCGCCTCAGACGGCGTCTCGCTTATACCAGGTGCTGCCTGGGCAGACACTCACCTCCTCTTCCCCGCAACCCTATGGGGCCGGCACTACTCTTAGCATCCCATTTTAGAAATGAGAAAACCACGGCCAGAGTGATCGTCAGGATCCCAACCCAGGCAGCCTGGCTGCAGAGCTGGTCCCTGTACCGCTTCCTGCACTACGGGCTGCGAGCCGCGGCGGAGGGGACAAGCGGGGCACCATTCACCGGACAGCTGCCCGTGACTGGAGTCCTCATTCGTTTACATCATCCCGGCTGCCTTCGTGTTCCCGCCAAAACCAGACAATGAAGCCCTTTCAAACAGAAAAACAACTGCCTGCGGAGAGGATCTACTTTTCTAAATGGAACGCAGAACAGTGATCTTAGGGTTCTAGAACTCCTATCTTCCCTTTTAAACAAACACAGCTTTGTCTGTAAATCACAATCCATTTCTCAATATCCCTGATGTTCCAGTACAATAATATTCCTCCAAAGTGTATAATAAAATAAAACAGTTAAAAGGGCTGTCTTGCTTTGCTTCATACTCTAAGACAATATGGAAGCCATCTCCACTGCTTAAATGGATAGTGAAATTAAATGCAAGTAATTACTACAAAAAGACACCCAATTATACATAATCAACAAAAATTTATGGTAATTTCAAAGCAGTTACTGCTTTTGCAAGGAGCTACATTTTGTCATCTGATCTTTATGCAAAATTTAACAGAAGGGCTTTTCCGCCAACAGAGAACGCTCAAATGCAAGGCAGGCTCCAGTGTGCCCTTGATTTTGCCACTAGGATCTCATACACTTTGTTGTCTGCAATCGAGAAGTATCTCCAAGCCGGTAAGTCAGAAATATGGCCATTTAAAGTAAAAACTGTTGGCTAGCCACCAAATGACCAAGTTTTTTTTTTTTTTAATTGATGCATCTGCCATCTGACTTGATAAACGTAGATCAAAAATCCAAACCTGCTGTTATCGTGTCCTTTGATAATTAGAAAGCAGATTGGTCATTTGTTTTTTTCGCCTGAAGGCAACTCAAGGCTCAGAAGGCAAACAAGTTTCTTCCTATGCACTTAAAAAAATAATAATGATACAACAACAGTGTACTTCTCTGTTTGTATATTTCAGAGACGGCTTTCAAAAACTTACCCCTGACTGACAAATGGGGTGGGGGTTGGGGGGACCTCCTCAAGTTTCCCTGCTCTCATTGACCCCTCGGAAGAGAGACGAACTGCAAATATTAAAAGGAGCAAGATGTGCAGGGGTTGTTTTTTAGAAGCTTTTCAGGGGAATCCAGGACTGCTTGTCCCCAACCAGGGATCAAGAGCAATCGTCAGGCAGGGTGTGACACTCGGATGACGATTTCTATGGTCCCTTGTTCAAATGCCTTTTGCTTCCGTGACAGAATGGCCAGCAACTTCCACGCTTCAGTGTGTCGGCATCTCTTCTGGCTCATAAAATCCCACCCCAGCCCCAACGTTAGGATTTACTGCCATATTTACCGTATTTATTACCGTATTTACCACCACCGCGTGGCCAACAGCAGACCTTACCACCTGCAGTCGTGGGAGACAGGGCGCCCTTGATTTACAGGTTTGCGAGGTGCAGCTTGGAGGTTTTATTAAGTCACTCCCCCTGATGATCAAAACTGGTAGACAAGGGGAAGGGGACTTCAACCCAAGTCTGCCTCAGAACCAAAGCAGTGCCCTCAGCCTCCTCACTTGAGTGAACCCTAGAAGCAGAGAAAGAACCAGCATGCACTTCCTGGGTGCTCGGACTATACGAACCTCGAGTTTCTCACTTTCACTGTGAAAAGTTCCGGATATTTTCTGTTCTATTAATAGCTCATAGAAAAAGGTATGAAACTGCTAACCAATGAGTTAACTGAACCCCTTTGCCTCTTCTCTGGCCAATCTCGTGTAAAACCCAACGCTGATGCACGGCGGCCCACACTGGAGCTTCGCACAGTGCCCCATCTGCCCGGCCGAGCTACGATGTTCCCAGTGATGTCCAACGTTTGAGTCAGCAGCAGCCCCCAGCTGAAAGGGCTCCACAGAGAAGACAGAGCTGTGACTTTGATCCCTGGCTTCCTGGACTGTGTGACCAGGGTCAGTCTGTTGGCTCCAGTTTCTCCACCCGCCAGAGAGGTAAATACAGCCCCTCATGGAGCTCTGAGGACGCCTCGTAAGACAAGGGCAGTAAAATGGCTGTTTGATGAGGAAGAAAAAAAGCACTTACAAAAACTGAGGTGTGGAGAGAAAATTTCTTCCTCCCAAGTCCATTGGGTATCTGAACATTAGGAAGAAATAAAGATGTCCAACAAGATTTCCAATGAGCTCATTGATTACCCTGCAAACAAAGAGTCAAATTAGTTTCAAGACATGCAAGTGGTCAAGTGAGATGTAGCCAGTTGTAAGCAGTAGCCCAGGGAAGAGAGCAGCCCGCTTCTGGGCCCTGGAGCCTGTGACAGCTCCACAATGAGTCCTTTTGTAGTCTGAGTGGCAAAGGCATTCTGAGGGGAAGGGAAATCGGTCCTGCGGGGGTCCAGCTGCCCTCTGACAGCTCTTTCAAGGCCCATCTCATCCTCAAAATATTGTTTTTGCTACTTCCTGCCTCCAGAGTTGGAAGCTGCAAAGCAAGCTTCTGACTGCTTCAGTCGTAAATACTGTATTTGCAAACCTCGGGGCAAATCGGAACGCTGACAAGAGAGAAGCATGGGAACGGGGGTGAGGGGGAGGCAAGGAACGCCTGTTTCCCCCATTCCCGGAGCCACAGCACTTCTCCCTTGCCTCCGGCATCCTTGAGTGTAAGACATCACGAAGATCACTGAGCATAGCTGACCTTCACCTTGTACTTCTAAAATAAACATTGACCTTCAGGTTTTCCCAGGGCTTACATACAGGCCACTTCAAGGTTTTATAGATCCACTCCTACTATCACATAACCTTCTGTGTCTTCTCCTGCCATAGGAGTCCTGTCAGGGACAAATCAACATTGGCAACTACTCCCAGACTCTGCCCTTCTGGGCGGGAGGGCGGCTGTACCAGGCTCAGAACTTGCTCTGCTCTATCACTACGCGGCAGACGTTAGGACCACAGAGAGCAGATATGTCAGACATAGTAAGAACTGGTACTATTAAAATCTGTTAAAACATTTAAAATATTTGGTAGCGTAAGAAGTGGGAGTTCACAGAACAGTTGCATCTTGATATCTTCCTTTTAAAATTCTGACTGGATGCAATAAAGCTTCTCCTCTCAGCTCCAATTCCAGGCTAGAAATCTGAGCCTATTTGGCTAAAACTTCTGTACTATCAAACCACTTACAAAACTACTTCCCATCTGAGAATCTGCATTTTGATGACTGGTGAGCAGTCTTCAAGGCATCCTGGAAATGCCTCAGGAATAAAAAAATTTGGTAATTTTACACATAGTTCTTAGAGGAGTCAAGCGTAGACACAAATTAAATTAGTTCCTTGTCTGCTCAATCCGGACAATGAATCCAGAAATATTTATTCAAAAACACATACCCAGAAGTACACTGTGCCTAATGATGAGCTAACAAAAGAACAACCACTCAATGCTAAATGTGCTTAAAGCCCTGCAATTTAATCGATTACGTCAAAATGAAATTACAGTTGACCCTTGAACACAGAGCTGAACTATGTGGGTCCACTTATAGGTGGAGCTTTTTGATAAATATAGTATAGTTACGTAAATGTACTTTCTTTTCTTCAGGTTTTCTTAATAATATTTTCTTTTCTCTCACCTTATTATAAAAACGCAGTATATGATACACGAAATACAACACAACATTTGTCTGAACTGACTGCTTCTGCTATCAGTAAAGCTCTGGTCAACAGGGGACTGTTAGCAGTTCAGTTTGGGGAGAGTTAAAGAATATACACAAATTTCCAACTACGCAAGAGCTTGATACCTCTAATCCCCATCGTTCAAGGGTCAACCATATTTCCTAAGTATAAGGTTCCGACACATCAATGTTGAACTTCATAAAACTTTAAAATTTTATGAAGATTAGCTAAAGAACAATGGAAGTCTTCGAAGGATTTGGTTCCAATCAAATAAATCTAATATCACTTACGAGCCTCCGATGATATAGTTGAATCCGAGGATAACCCAAGGTAAATAACAGGCCTAGGAGACAAATACACACCAACATGAACAACCACACTAAAAAGGACACGGCTGCTAGGCGGCTGGAATGGGTAAAGATACACCGACAAGAGCTTTATATAAATCTTTTGGAAAGTCACTGCAAAAATTTCTCAGACCAATCTAGCATGATTATACTTAAAACTTCCTATCTAATGTTATACTCATCCAGGGGCGCCTGGGTGGCTCAGTCGGTTAAGTGTCCCGATTCTTCGGTTCTGGCTCAGGTCATGGGATTGAGTTGCGCTCGCTCCATGGGGAGCCAGCTTGAACTAACAGCCCCCCGATGAGAAAGCTCTCCAGTGGGATTCCACATTCGAGCCTCTGATTCAACACATCATACCAAGAACTAAGGGAGCTGCAAGGAACTTCACAAGCTAGTGAAGAAAGGGTTGTATAGAAAGAACTTGAAGGCAGAATGTGGTTAAGTACTCTAAGAGAAACATAACGGGTCGTAGGGCCCAAAGGCAAGACTAATTCCAGGCAGGAGACCAGGAAGTATGTTCAGTCCCAACTCAAATGAAGAACAGGTAGGCTTTACAAGAGGAAGAAAATTTAAAAAGATGGTACTGGTGGAAAACTGAGAGAAGGCACTAAGGGAATTGTCGGGGACAAAGGGAATTGTCTGGGGACAAAAACAATCTGTTTTAGCTAAAGTGTACAATACGTTAACAGGGAATGATAAGAACAGATTTTAAGAGGCTGCTCCCCACGAGTATCTTTCCTTCCCCCTCTCTATCACACACACAGACATGAGATCACTCAGGGTCACATGCCTGAGAGGCCTGAAGCACAGAGGGAGTGAGAAGAGCCAGCAAAGGATTCCAGGTTGGCTAAAGACAGGCAAGAGACCGAGCCTGGGAGAGGGGGGCTGCCTACCGTACACTGCTCTGCAGTGACCTCTTCTGGACGAGTCAGAAAGTGCATCTCTGAGCTGAAGAGGGATTTTTTTGCAAGGATAAATGACAAGGAAATTTTTCCAACTACGTGAAAGTACCTTAAATCGTGTTCCAAACCAAAATGATACAATCATGTCTCTGTTCAGCTGGGCCCAGACATAAAGGACTGACATGATCAGAGGAATCATCAGCAACTGCAAAAGAAGTCAACATGTAAAGACATGGCTCCAGAAGCACTCCAACAGGCTCAGCGTGAATCTACTTTTTTTTTAACCTCTCCCCTACAAACAAATTCTCCTGTGGCTTTACAAAAACCAAAAAGAAATTCAGTCATCAGAATTACAAACTGATCCTCTCAGTTAATCAATTATACAACACATGCTACAAAATCCTAGAATAAAATACAATTATTTTAGATGTATTCAGAAATATCAGGGTCAAGCTTGATTATTTAAAAAAAAGTAGGCAGTAAAACTTTACTTACTGTATATTTGCAATTAAAAAAATACATATCCACATAATGTATAGAAAATACCATAGAATCATCACTCTTGATGCCCAAACATAACGAAGAAGCCGGAAATGAGCCAGGAAACTAACAGTTTAGATAATTCATATAAGACTTTCAAAATAAAAGTTGTAATTCTATAATTTCAAAATGCCATGTAATTAACCACAGGGTAAATGCAATTTAAGCTTCTCTCAAAGGCCATTAATTGTAAATCTGAAACATATAAAAGGGCAAACAGTTTCTAGGGACACTTACCTGCATATCCATTGCTAAGCCAGTAATCTTGGTTTATAAGGTTAAGGATCAGAACAAACAAAGCATTATGCACCTAGCATCAGTTCATTTCATTCCTGTGTTCAGAAAGAAAACCCTTTTCTAGAGTTCGGGTTGTTTAAAACATCCCAGAACACAAAGGTATCTAACAATCTCCATCATGAATATTCTGTTGTAGTATATGACGACAAGGAAATGAGAGACGTGAGCTGCTCTGGCATAGGACTCAGTTGTCCCCTTGTGTCCTCTCTGCCTTGCCCAGCATCTTAGCATCTGTCTTCAACTGGAAGATGGAGATACCTGTGGCCTGAAACTAACCAGGGTTCTACTCACATCCAGGGCTCCATAGCATGGTGGAGATCCAGAACAACTTTTTTCTTCTTCCCTTAAAGGAGGGGAAAGGGCATCCGAAGTGCCACATGTCCTGGCTTGGGGCCAAGGTTCAATGGCTGCTAAGCCCCAGAGCAATGTTAAGCTCACCAGCTGGGCACAGACTGAGCCATCACACCCCCTCTGCGGCCCTCGCCATCTGCACAGGTCCGCAGCTGGAAGGCTGCTGGCAGCGGGGGCTGTGACACAGAGAGCCAAGCCGGGCCCTTCCAGAGGGACCGAATTACTGTGTAGGCCCCGAGGACAAGGATAGCAGTGAAGTCAGAAAGGGATGCTGGTTGTTCATTTATTTTCTGAGATGGAGCACAGATTCCAAAAGCTGTCTCATGGCACGGGATCTCTTTGTGCTGCAGTCAACAAGCTGTCACACACGAGACACAGAGAACTGGGAACAAGAGGAGGGACAGCAATAAAATTCAACCAAATGTGGAAAACTCGGCAATGGCAAGGGAACGCCGTCACTTGAGGGCTCTGTGACGTACGACAGCTTTAAAATCAAACTTTAACTGAGGCGCCTGGGTGGCTCAGTTGGTTCAAGCGTCTGCCTTCGGCTCAGGTCATGATCCCAAGGTCCTCGGATCGAGTCCCGCTTTGGGCTCCCCACTCAGCGGAGACCCTGCTTCTCCCTCTCCCTCCACCTGCCACTCTGCCTACTTGTTTCTCTCTCTCTCTCTGTCAAATAATAAATAAAATCTTTAAAAAAAAGAAACTTTAATTATTTGTAATTATTCACTGTAGCAAACAGATGCAAATACTATAATTTGAACTATTGTATGGAATACCGTTCTACTTCCCCAAACCTGAAAATAATGGTTTATTTCTGGCCCCAAATAACAGACTAAAGGATACCACGATGCAAATCCAGTTAAAGAGGAGCATGAATAAATAGTCTGCCGGCCTCCCATCAAAAGCTCCTAGAAACAAAAATAAGCCAAATGTCATGGTTCAGGATTTCAGAACAAAGCAACTCCTCTGTAAAGAAATACTTCAGAAAGTTATAGAGAAAGCCAACATGAGAATATTTTTAAATTCCTCCTCTCAAGCAGAAGAAAATCTTTTAAAACATCTAAAACCATGCCCTTGGGGCACCTTGTGGCTCAGTCGGTAGAGCATGCGACTCTTGATCTCAGGGTTGTGGGTTTGAGCCCCGCGTTGGGTGTAGAGATTACTTAAAAATAAAATCTTTAAAAATAAATAAAACCATGTCCTCAATAGAGCCCTAAACTCCAGTCAAACTCCAGCTAATCTGTGTTCTCCTAACTGAATTCTAATAAGGAACACACTTCCCCAACCACCACGGGCTGAAAGACCCACGGGGAGGAGAGTCAGTGCTACGGGTGTCTGAGATCCACCCCTCGAAGACCTCACAACCCGCCAGCCTCTGCTTCCTGGAGACACATCTGTGTTCACCTGGGTAATCCCTTCCCCCTCCACTGGACCATAAGCTCTGATGCGAAAGGAACCACAGCTGCCTTGCCTACCCCTGTGACTCCTCCAGCAGGACTCTGCCGGGAGCTTCTTAACTGTTGTGTTGTTATTAGACATGTGCACACACGCACTACCACTGAGTCTGACCCTGGGCTTTCTGAGAAGATTCAATCCCCTCCTCCCAGCTTACATTCTCGCAAGGGAAAACGATGCTGGAGAAGAGGAGGAGTGGGGCCACAACCCTTCCCAGAGCCTCTTCCATCTGGGAGGTAGAAAGGCAAGGCCCCCTTTCCACAGATGAGGGTAGAAAGTTAAACGACCAGAGTGGCATGGCTTGGTAGAAGCGGAGTGAACTCTAACTACTAGTCTAGTGCCCTTGTTATTACACCATACACCAGACTCTGTCTCAGCCCTGGACAGGATAATCAACACTGGTCTGGCTCTCCCTTCTCAGGGTGATTCCTCATGCCTTCAGTTGAAAGACCAGAAAAGAGACAGAGATAAAAAACAAATGACTGTAAGGTCACATGAGCTCAAGCAGCTACCTTCCGCCTCTGGACACCCCATCGTAACAGCATGATACATAGTCAATTAAAAAGAAACTCTAACAAGTATTAGAAAGGCAGGGGAAAATATCTAAGAGGTAACAAGCGGGGCACCTGTGTGGCTCAGTCGGTTAAGCATCTGCCTTTGGCTCAGGTCATGATCCCAAGGTCCTGGGATCAAGGCTGGCTGCCAGCTCAGTGGGGAGTCTGCTTCTCCCCCTCCCTTTACCCCTCCCCTACACCCTCTCCCTGCTCGTGCTCTTTCTCTCTCTCAAATAAATTTAAAAATCTTTTTAAAAAATTAAAAATGGGGTGCCTTGTTGTTTCAGTGGTTGGGTATCTGCCTTTGGCTTGGGTCATGATCTCTGGGTCCTGGGATCGAGCCCCACATCATGCTCCCTGCTCAGCGGAGAGCCTGCTTCTCACTCTCCCTCTACCTTTCCCCACTTGTGCTCTCTTGCACTGTCAAATAAATAAATAAAACGAAAAAAAGGTCTTTTTCAATTAATATAATACAAGTTTCTAGCAGAAGTCTCTCTTTCTTTTTTTTTTTTTTAAAGATTTTATTTATTTATTTGACAGACAGAGAGCACAAGTAGGCAGAGAGGCAGGCAGAGAGAGAGGAGGAAGCAGGCTTCCTGCTGAGCAGAGAGCCTGATGCGGGGCTCAATCCCAGGACCCTGAGTTCATGACCTGAGCCGAAGGCAGAGGCTTTAACCCACTGAGCCACCCAGGCACCCCAGAAGTCTCTCCTACTTTCCCAAATTTCTCCCCTGGTGTCTCAAAGGCACACTGCAGCTCCAGTGTTGAGGACTCTTATTGGTAGGGGATCCCTATAGATGAATCAGAGCTAAAATTCGAAACAAACCTCTGAATTTCAGTAATAGTCGTGCTTCTTCTGATTTGGTTTCAGCTTAGTGATTTCTGTTTTTTGTTTCATTACGTTTTTCTAAGCAGGCTCCCTGACCAAGCTGGGGCTTAAACTCACAACCTGGAGGTCAAGTGTCACATGCTCTGACCCTAGGCCAGGCAGGCACCTCCCTGGCTTTATGATTTCTGAGGATTCTCTGGACTGAATTCCTGAACTATTGCAATCACACACACTACAGTACTATATTATCTGACAAGTTTGCAACTGGAAATTGACAAACCAACTGGCCTCCAACTGCAGTCTTCCAGTTCAATTCAGAAACCTCGTAAATAAGGCGGCACTCCTGTGGACTTCAGTGAGTCAGGCAGGAAAACGTGCGGGCGGCAAGCGTTCTGTCAGGATGTGAACACGAGGCCGTATGGCCCAGAGAAGACCGGGGATCAGCGAACCCGGGCTCCGGTCCTAGCTGTGTTACCTCGAACAGCTTGGTGACCTGCAGGGCATGTCACCACCTCTCCAGATCATTGTTTTCTTGTCTGTGAAATCTTATTTTAAAAGGACAGGTCTCGGGGTGTCTGGGTGGCTCAGTGGGTTAAAGTCTCTGCCTTCGGCTCAGGTCATGATCCCAGGGTCCTGGGATCGAGCCCCACAGAGAGCCTGCTTCCTCCAATCTCTCTCTGCCTGCCTCTCTGCCTACTTGTGATCTCTCTCTGTCAAATAAATAAATAAAATCTTTAAAAAAAAAAAAAAAGGACAGGTCTCAAAAGTTCCTCTTGACACAAACGTTCATAGCAGCCTTATTCATAACAGTGAAAAATGAAAACAAGTCAAACATCCATCAGCTGATGGATGGAGAAACAAAACGTGATAATTCTGTACAATGGAGTCTTATTTGGCAACAAAAAGGAGAGACGTGCTGATACGTGGTACATGGAAGGACCCTGACAACCCCACGCTAAGCGAAAGAAGCTGGTCACATGGTGCATGATTCTGTCTGTATGAAATGTCCAAAAGAGGCAAATCCAAAAAGGTGAGAGGAGATTAGTGGCTGCCTAAAAGCTTAAGGGGAAGAGGAGGTTGGACAGAAATGGAGAGTGGCTGTTGATGGGTATAGGGTTTCTTTCTGTGGTGATAAAGTATTCTAAAACTAACTATAGTAATGACTGCACAACTCTGTGAACACTCACCAAATTGTACGCTTTAAACGGGTGGAACTGGACAGCACTTGAATTACAGGTCAATAAAACTTTAAAAAAATGCTTCTCTGCTCTGTGACTGGGTAAACTTGTAAGAATTCAAGCAGACAAAAGGGATCTATGGGCTAATAATCCTGCAGACGGATCTTAAGTGTTATTCAGGTATTACAAATTCGTTATATGACCTGACTAGATAGAAGGGAAGAGTAAATGGGTTCCAGGACCTCAAGTAACCAAGAGAAAACAATGTACAAATAAAATGTGGTCACAGAATTATTGTAACTTACGTTTTATAATAGTGTTATGATTTTTTTTAAGTCCTTATGTTTCAGAGGTGAATATTAGAATATTTACTGCTGAAACGATATCATGTCTGGCATTTGTTTCAAATAATCAGGGGTAGGGGGACAGAAACGAACAGAGATCGAATAAGACCAGTGATGAGACCACTGTTAAAAGTTAGCAGGAGTTAGGGGCACCTGGCTGCCTGAGTTCGGGGAGCACGTGACTCTTGATCTCCAAGTCATGAGTTCGAGCCCCATGTTGGGTGTAGAGATGACTTAAATACTTACAAAAAAAAAAAAGGTGAGCAATAGTTAAAAAAGGGGGCTCACATATACATGTAGACACACACTACGATGTGAATAAACCTTGGAAACATTCTACTAAGTGAGAGAAGTCAGCCACAGAAGGACTCTTAAAATGTCTCAAATAGTCAAATCCATATGCACAGAAAGTAGCTCAGAGCTTGGCAAGTGCTTGGAGAAAGGGGGATGGGGGATGCAGAGTAACTGCTTTGGGTTTTGGGGGGTTGATGAGGACATCTTGAATTAGACAGTAGTGGCGGTTGCATAACACTGCAAACAGACTAAAGATGAAGGGACTGGGACTCCTGGGTGGCTCAGAGGTTAGCCGTCTGCCTGTGACTCAGGTTATGATCTCAGAGTCCTGGGATTAAGCTTCACATCAGTTCCCTGCTCAGCGGGGAACCTGCTTCTCCCTCTCCCTTTGCCTCTCCCCCTGCTCACGCTCACTCTCTCTCTCAAATAAATAAAATCTTTAAAACAAAACAAAACAAAAAAAGACCACAGAACTGTACACTTTAAAATGGTCACAACTGTCATTTTCTTGTTATGTAAATTTTACCTCAATAAAAAGGAAAACAAAGGTTCATCAACCTTTCTCACTACATTTGTGAATGTTTGAAACTGCTCCATAACCAAATGTTTAAAAACCGGTCATGGGTCACCACACTTAGAGTTTACTACTTATGTAAAAACAAAATTACTCCAACAGCCGATCCTCAATGAAATCCTATCAAGGAGTAGAATGCGAAGCAAGTCAGCCATCAGTACCAGGCCCGACTGGGACAGGGGAGAATAAAAATCACGTATTCTGGGGGCTTTAAGAACCAACCATGATGTGGTGGTGAGAATCCCACCTGTCCGTTTTGGCTGCGCCCAGACACTACCCTCTGAATGAGGGGATGGGCGAGGTCCCTTCCAGCAGTAACAGCCCACAACCAGACACTCTGTACTGACATCATGATTTCCTTTTAAAAACACCTCATACGGGGCGCCTGGGTGGCTCAGTGGTTAAAGCCTCTGCCTTCGGCTCAGGTCATGATCCCAGGGTCCTGGGATCGAGCCTCACATCGGGCTCTCTGCTCAGCAGGGAGCCTGCCTCCTCCTCCTCTCTCTCTCTGTGTCTGCCTCTCTGCCTACTTGTGATCTGTCTGTCAAATAAATAAAAATTAAAAAAAAAAAAAACACCTCATAACAAATGCCAATTTAAGGAAAAATCATGTTGGACACCAAATGCCCATCCCTCTACTTCCTGCAGTTATGGGATTAATTCACAACTCTCAAACTGACTTCGATTTAAGGGTGGTTCGGAGTTCTCTATCCTGAGCTAACCGCTAGCAGGTTTATAAAGCCTCTGGAGTCAGCCAACCTTTTCAAAATCATTTAGGCTTAATGAAATTATGTTCGTGTTTCGAGGGAGCAGTATCAATTTATTCCTTCTCAGCATAAGCAACTCAGAACAGCACACAAGGTATTGTACAAAGGAAATATGGAACAATTCACAAAGAAACTTTCAGGAAAAGATTTTTGTAAAAAAGCTTACCCGTAACATCACATGGGTACTCATATCTGATAAACTACCGGATTAGTAAATCTCCGCTATAAATTTTACAGGTGAGTGATTCGATCACAGAGAACAAGGCTTTCATAGCATAAAGGAGTACTTTTCAGCCCCGATCTGGGAGATGTATATACTTCAGCCCAACTGTGCATTTGACCACATGACACATGACAGAAAGGAGATGTCAAATTTAAGTGAGAGGCACACAGCTCAACCACTAGGGACAAGGCGTGGACAAGATGTGTAAAGGCTCCGGTCTTCTACTTTTTCACGATAAAATGGTGACACTGTTACTTATGCCTCATGATGTTGTGAGGATTAAAAATCAAGTCATCTAAGCACCTAGGACAGTCCCAGCATCGGTAGGACTTAATGAGCATTTCCCATCTTTACGCCATTTCCTCAAAGTCCAACTGCCCTCAAAATTCTTCCAATACGTAAATACGAACTGGTAAATTAGGAACAAATCTTAAAACGCTATGGATAACATACCTGTTTCAAGTCGTGTCGAATACTGATATAAGAAATATAAATTGACCAAATAAAGAAATCCAGTTCCTGGGCCCACAGGGAAATAAAAGGTGGCAGTGATTGGCCTCCAAACCTGTCCAGATTAAAACAGACACAGCAGTTAGTTTCTGTAAGCCTGGTTAATTTTTTTTTTTTTTAACTAAACAAAATGCACCCTTGCAAAACATTCTCCTCTGTGATAGTGGTTACCAAAGGGTCACCACCAATATAATTCAAGAAAACTGAAGAAGGGCTCTCATCAGCTTCAATCGTATCAATTTGGAAAAAATACTTCTAGCCAGGTTGAAAAAAATCAATACTATAGAAGTACATGGTCAGTCTTTACTGGGATAAGGCATTCAGTTAAGCCTGTCAAAATTGAACTGTAAAGACAATTTCCAACAGGACAATAATAATCTCTATGCAGGAAAAAGAATATCGTGGGATAACAAACCTTGCCCAAAATTGTCATACTCAAAAGGCAGAAGTAAAATAGAAATGTTTGTATTCAAATCCCTGTGCTATTTAGGCAATATGGATATATGACTTCATGATACTAAGTTTCCCCTCCCCCCCCCGCCAAAAAAAATTACAGAAGGGTCTACAGTAAGAAGTGAGCCTCCCTCCTAACCCGCATCTCCCAATTCCCTTTAGCAACAACAATCGGTTTCTTGTATTTCTTTCAACAAATAATGTGTTACTACAGTTCCTCCCTTTTCTTCCTCTCTTACATCGCACAGCTCTATACCTTGTTTCATACCCTTGAGGAAATATTTTTGCTGCCTTTATATAAAGTATTCCTTTTACGTGAATGTTCAAAATTCATTTACACTGTTACAATGCCACAATGCCTATTCTTGATTATCTTTTTTATACACGTCCATGTAGGATAAAATCCTGGGAGTTAATCTGCTAAATTCACAGACATTTGCATTTAATTTTGCTAGACACTGCCAAATGCCTATAAAAATATTTAACTGACTTACGCTTTCTCCTACAATGTAGATTAATGCCTGTCTTCCCTCCACACCCTCACCATTAGGGTATTCTATATTTACCAATTATTTTTTAAAAATCTTTAGCATTTCCTTTCTTCATTTTTCTGCTAGATTTGCATTTCTTTGTATGTTCTGGAAATTCCCCTTTCTCGCTGTTGCAAATATTTTCCGGTCTGTCATTAAATCTATGCCTTGATGGTATTCTTGCCGTATTTTGACATGCAGAAGTGTTCATTTAATGTAGGCAAATGCATCCCTCACACATCCTGCTCACAAGCTACTTCTCCACTCTAAGAATATGTTAGTGTCACAGTTTCACTGTGACACAGTGATCTGACTTCTTTTTCTAGATGGTCACTCAGCTCTCCCAATCCCATTTACAGAGTAACCCGTACTTTCTCCATTGACCTGAAAAGCTACTTTCAGCATATATTTATTTCCTTTTGTATTAAAGTCTCTAATTATATTAAAGTGCTATCCTGTTTGGAATTTAATTCCTATACCAATATCAACTTATTTCAATTTCTAGTCTTATGGTATGTTACAATCTGGTAAAGTTACATGATTAAATAATCCCTCTCCCATTTTTCTTCCACATGTGTCTTAATTTTCTTGGCTGGTCTCAAAATTTTATTTTCCTAAAAGAACTAGAACCGGGGGGCGCCTGGGTGGCTCAGTGGGTTAAACCTCTGCCTTCAGGGACGCCTGGGTGGCTCAGTTGGTTAAGCCGCTGCCTTCGGCTCAGGTCATGATCCCAGTGTCCTGGGATCGAGTCCCACATCGGGCTCCTTGCTCAGCGGGAGCCTTATTCTCTGTCTGCCTCTGCCTGCCACTCTGTCTGCCTGTGCTCACTCTGACAAATAAATAAATAAAATCTTTAAAAAAAAAAAAAAAAACCTCTGCCTTCAGCTCAGGTCATGATCTCAGGGTCCTGGGATAGAGCCCCACATCGGCTCTCTGCTCAGCAGGGAGCCTGTTCCCCACGCCACCCGCCCCGCCTCTCTGCTTACTTGTGATCTCTCTGTCAAATAAATAAATAAAATCTTTTTTTAAAAAAAGGAAAGAAAGAAAAGAAAAAGAACTAGAACCGGCATCTTTGTGATACCAGTGTGATACAACTCCCAACCAGGAAGAAATCTTTCACAGCTTTTGTAAGTTTTGGATAGACCCAACCACCAAAGCTGAATTACCTTATTGCTTGTAATATTAGCCAAGTTACCTTATTGGTTGTAATATTGGAAAACTGAGCCTCTTGGACTAAATATACAACTCCATCTATGAATAAAATTTTGCATCTTATTCTATTGTTGTCTAATTGACTGGCTAGTACCCGCAGAACAATGTTAAATAACAGTGACTGAAGAAGACAACTTTCCCAGACCATAGAAATACCAGCATCATGCTGGCTTTGGCCTCGCTATACGTAAGCATGAAAGACATGACCCCTGCATCAAGGAGTTCTCAAGTAGTGGGTTATCCAAAGAAGCAAAAGACTGATCCCAAAGGAGGGAAAAATTGGTCTCGGAAAAACAAATACAAAGTCCGAAAGAACTGCAAGAGCACAATAAACAAACAGGTACTGCTGACAATTTGGGTGTGGCTGGAACAGAGGACATTAGCTGTGGGGGCTGGCCAGACACCAAGCTGCCCAGTTACACTCTCCAAGTGCAAGAATGTAACCCTCACAAGTTCAATTCCACCTGGAAGAAAACAGGCTTTCTGTTTTACCCGAAAGAGCTACTTTCCAAGAAGCCTGTATTAAACCAGCAAAGCAAAATAGGTCAAAACTCATTTTGATTCATTCACAACTTCATCATAGTTTAAGAGAAAGAACACCAGAAGTGATTTGAGAAGGCCTAGCTGCAAAGTTGTAGCTTGCGATGCTAGGACTTGCCTCAGTTGGCATCTGTAAAAGGGGAATGATCTACTAATACTCACCCTACTTTGATTAGTGGTTAAAAAAATAATAATAATAAAATAAAAGTGTGGTCCTCTCGTCATTTACATACAATGACTCAGGAGACAGATTTTATAGTTGAAAAACAGAATGAGAAAAGGTTAAATAATAGCTAGTAAGTGGCGGAGCTAGAATTTTATCCCAGACAGCTTGACTCCAAAGTTTATGACACAAAACCCTGATTTTTTTACAATGTCTCTCACAAGTGATATCATTATTACGAGGTATAATTATAATTAGGAAACGTTTTAAATACTACTGTGCTTGTATAAGCCTGATTCTCCCTGCTTATGAAGAGCACTGGGACTGAAGACCAGAAGCAAGCAAGCCCTGGCCTTGGCCCTTAAATAGCCCTGGGGCCTTGGAAAAGTCTAGACCTTTGCGTTGGCGTCTTCATCTACCCAGGGATGTCTGCCCTGACTCCACCTTCCTTATTTCCAGATTTTGTAAAAGGCAGGAATTAAGAAAGTGGATTAAAAGGTCCTTTGTTTAAAAAAAAAAAAAAAAAGGTATGTGTGGGTGTATGACTATTACAAATCTCTAAGAGACACACACTGACATGGTTTTTACAAATTCCCATTTTAAGCTACCTCCATATTCCCGTAAGTTACTCAGGGCCTCATTTTGGAAAAGAAACCCTGGTTTTTTCCGACTACATCTTTCACTAACACTGACGACATGACACTATTTTTAGCCACTGTGTGCACCTGTGCTTTGGAAATCAGTGTCTGTCAAAATACCTCACTCCTTTTCCCCGTTCATTAAGCTTACCCTTGAGTTATACTTGGCTTTCATTGATCTAAGAGACTTAATATTATTTTTGTATTACTTTAAAATTATAATTTAAAAACACCAGGAGAAAGCTTATCTCTTCAGAAAACCACAATATACTTCTGAAATCTCCACTGACTGCCCAGCTAAATCCCCTCCTTTGCTCTGATATGTAAATAGTTAGGATAAGAAAATGGCTTTTGTTTTCAGGGCTGGGAGAGGTTGGCGGCCCATTTCTCAATCCTGGAAAGCCTTCACGGATCCCGTAATGGGCAGCGGGTGCAGCACCAAGAGGGCGGGGTCTGCGGGCAGAAAAGGGGAGGGGAGCAGCTCGTTTTCACCACCCCGCAGCAGCCCGTCCTCATCCCAGCTTTTTTATAATGAAAGCTGGGCCCTCATGAGAGTTTAGGTGATTTGCCGGAGCTCCTCACTTCAAAGCAAGAAGTCCACATCTTCACTGGCTTATAAGGGTTTAAGAAAGGGAGAAGGCAGTGCTCTTTAGTTACTGGTCCCAAACCTCCTGTTGAGAGAGTGGGTGGCAGCTGTCCTTGAACTAAAAATCTCCCGAACAACCTGCCACTGAAATCATTACAGATGCTACCCAGAGTCTAAAGTGGGGCTTTTTAAGTACCCAAAACAAAGATTTTTCCCGAAACAGTATGGACCGGTTGACTTGGAGTTAAGAAATTCTACATAGATCACCAACAAGAAAGAGGGGGAGTACCTCATTGCCAAATGCTGATGTTAGCTAAGTGTGGGCTTTTTTTTTTTTTTTTTTTGGACAACCTAGGTAGGCAAGAAAAACAAATGAAAGGCACTCAGGTTCAATTGTGGACTTTGAAAGAGCTATTAGAGGCCATCCATTCGAGAAACAAGAGTGGGGCGTAAACATTCGGAAGCAAAAAAAAAGCAAAAGGAAGTATACAGGGGGCACCTGGGTGGCTCAGTGGGTTAAGCCTCTGCCTTCGGCTCAGGTCATGATCTCGAGGTCCTAGGATAGAGCCCCGCATCAGGCTTTCTGCTCAGCAGGGAGCCTGCTTCCCTTCCTCTCTCTCTGCCTTCCTCTCTCTCTGCCTGCCTCTCGGCCTACTTGTGATCTCTCTCTCTGTCAAATAAAGAAAGAAAGAAAAAAAAAAAAGTAAGTATACAACCATGAAGCGAATGCTTAGTCTCTGAGATGAGAAGCTTAAGGAGAAGGATAAACTAAAACCTAAAAAGAAAGATCCCAGTGCACTCAAGGAAAGAGAAGTCCCCAACATCCTTCCTGCTTATTCTTCCGATATAACACACAGCTGGACCCACCTTATCACACCCCGGCTGCGCCCACCTTACCACACCCCAGCTTATCAATTTTTCCATTCAGGCCAA